ATTCGAACCGTGAATACATCTCATTACACTGATTTACTGGTAGTCTTGAAACCCTACTTACCTTTTCACTAGTTTGTGGGAAAATTCAACTACCATCACTTGAAGCAGGGATTCAACGTGAACGCGTCTCGTTTCACGCTATCGCCTAACTCGACTACCCCTCCTTCTTCTGCCTCCCCACACGTGTCAGATGCCCCACTCCCGGTTGCGATGGCTCCGGCCACATCACCCGCAACTACACCAGCCACCGCAGCCTGAGTGGTTGCCCTCGAGCCCAACGTAGCGCCAACAGACGCTGTCTCGTCTCCGGCTCGGGCCCCGATTCGCATGTTAGTCCGTCCGTCGGAGAGGCTGTATCGCCGGGGGCCGCATCGCCTCCAGACTATTCCACCTCGAACCCTTTCGTCCTGCTCAACCAGGCCTCGATGTTCCATGCTCGTGGTCACCCAACAACGCATTGTCTCTCTCCACCTCCGTCTCCAAGCTCCAGCTATGCCAGGGCCTTGTTGCCAAGGCAACCGGAATTGGTCTCTCTCGCTCCTCCGTCTGCCTCGGGAGCCGAAAGTACACTTTCGCAAACTCAGACCAACCTCTTGACCTTTCCTCTGCCCCTCAGTCTAGCCCTGCCGCCATTGCCACCGCTACCTCCACTGCCTCCACTGCCTTCGCTGCCTTCGCTGCCTTTGCCGCTCACTCTTCCTCTTCCTCTGCCTCTGCCTCTGAGACCGCTGACTTGCGGTCTGGACACGACTCCGGTGGCAGCTCTAATGGAGTTCACCAATCAGCGTCACTTTCCCATCTCCAGCCAGCCCGGAGACGAGCATATGGTCTCAGGTCGTCTGGCCAACCGGCAGACCGGCGTCTGGCAAGCCGAAACCGCTCAGAACTGGTCAATGGGACCGGACAGAATGCCTCATCCGCCCGAGGTCATGTCAAGCGAATTGGCTTCGGGAAACAAGACTCGAGAGATGGAGCGCAAAACTCCAATCATGTAAGCGATTCTCACCTCTTGACGGAATCGACATGACGCTTTTTGCGATGAAAGACTAAATTTAATGAATATGT